CCTTTATATACACATAACTTAATTCTCACTTCTACCCTGTGGGTGCTATCATCAACTCATTTTACAAATGAGAAAACGAGACTCGGAGAAGTTAGGTAACCTGATCTAGATCACACAGCTTGGAAAAGCCAAACAGCCAGGAGTCTGGCCCAGGTCTGCTTGACTGAAGTGCTCGGTCCCATTTACCCCTCTGCCGGGTGGGATTTGAGCAGATGTCAGAGGCGGGGCAGGGGGTGAGGGGAATAGCTGATCCTGGAGAAAGGCTGGGGAGTATGAGAGAGCAGGTGGGGTCTAAGTGGCCCTTGGAGGTGGTTCTCACCTGGCCGTCAGGCCCAGGCAGCAGCTGTCCAAAGTCCTGCCCGTTAGCGAAGGCCTCCAGTACTGACAGGAGGTCCCGGTTGCAAATGGCCGTCCGCAGTCTCTGAGGCTCGGGTGCGGACCGGCGGGCAAACCTGTGTTCCACGTACTTGGCCACAATATAGTCCCTACGCGAGCTCCTGCCGAAGTCAACCACAATCTCAGAGCAAGGGCCGTTTCCACCCAGCTGACCCCTGGAACCCTCCCACAGGAGATACGGATCTCCTTTTCCCCAGAACCATGCCCTAGACCTTCCAGATCTGAGGCTCCCTTCTCCCCAGACTTCTGGTCCAAGATCCTCCTGAGACCACGGGAGCTGGAAAAGCAGAATCCCCAGCCAGGACGTCCCCCCTCCACCGGATAATCCCCTTACATGTCACTTTCAGCGGAGGGCTTAGGGCCTCCATGTGAGGGCAGCTGGGCCTCCATAACCTCATTGAAGCGAGTGTTTCCGATGTTCAAGGCCAGCTGGGGTCGCAGGAAAGTGGTGGGGGTAAGACCGGTGGTTAGGACAGCGCCCCCTGGAGGACTGAGCCTCCGGAAGCCCCCCCCCCCCCCCACATCACCCCCTTCCCAGCCCGTCAGGATCCTGCCCCACCTCTCCAGGGCCCACAATCTCAGGTTGAGCCAGTGGACCCAGTCCAGCCTCCGACCAGGCCCCGCCCCCAATGTCACCGCTGGCCCCGCCCCACCCTCACCAGCAGCTCGGAGGGGCCCAGCAGGTCCAAGGTGAGGGATTGCATGCGCGAGAAGCGCACACCCAGCTCGCGGTGGACGCCGGAGCACTGGATGCAGGTGAGCACGCCCAGGTTGGTGCTGAGCCACGTGGGGTCTGCAAGGTGGAGAAGCTTGAGCCTGGCGGTGGGGGCCCCTCCCCCCCTCCCCCCTCCCCTCCCCTGCCCCCTCCCTCCCTGCCCCGTCCACTGGCTGACCTGCAGCTCCGCAGTCGCAGCACTGGCCATTTCCGGGTCTGCTCTTCACCTCCGCGATGAGCAGCTTCGTGAGGTCCTGGGGCTCCCCATCCAGCCCAGCGCCCCCCCAGGGCCCCGGGCCACCGCTGGGCTCCCCGAGGAAGGCACTGCTCAAGGCCTCGTCCTTGCTGTTCTGTAGCACCGACACCCACCTGCAGAGAGCATGCCGGGGGGGCCCAGGAGTGACACCCGCAGGGGTGGGATCCCCAGAGGCTGGGAGGTAGCTAGGGCTCCGCTGACCCCACCCCCAGGCTGGCCGTGGGGAGTCACTCACGCCTCACACTCATGTTCATCCTCTGCCTGGAAGTGGTATGTCCTGTTGTCTGTGGGGAGACCGACGTGTGTCTGGTCCACAGAAATCCTGTGGACCTTCCCTGGGCCCAGGGAGCCCTCAACCAAACAGCTGGGCCCGGGTGGGGGGACGGGGGCGCTTTTGTCCCTGAGGAGCCAGGCTCTGCAGAGCTGGGGTGGGGAGGGTAATGACAGTGGCCAGTAGCACAGGCAGTTTCTCAGAAGTCACAACAAGAAGGCTCTGTGTGAAACCCCAGTTACAGGGTCCAGGGAACAAGACCCCACCCAGCTCAGAGGCAGAGTATCCTCCGAACCTACTGCCATCACCCCACTTGGGCCCTCAGCCTCCTCCTGTCTGGTCTCCTTGCTCCCCAACTCCCCCTTCCCCCAACCTGTACCGGCTGCCAGATTGTTGTGCCCAAGGTTCCAATCTAATCATGACACCCCCTGCTCTAGGACACCCCGTGGCTCCCTATTACCAGGAAATCAGGCCGAAACCTTTAAGAGGCATTTCCCGGGTCTCATCTCCCAACGCTCTCCTCTGTGAACCCTACACTCTGGCCAGACTGGTCAGACCCATTGTCCTGCCCCCATGTCTTTCATCATGCCAGTCCCGTCCCCTGAAATGTCTGCCCCCAAACTCTGTGTTGTGTGTTCTTCAAGGCTGCACTCAAATGCTCTCTGGCCCAAACAGCCTTTCCCGATTCCTCACAGCAGGGCAGGGCTTCCGCTCCCTAATCTTTGACAGTGCTGTATCTGCACCTCTCTTCTGGATACATCCCTGCCAGAGAGAGCTCCCTAGGATGAGATCTGGGTCTTTCTCAGCCTGCACTGGTCCCCATGTAAAGCCTGGCATCAAAGCCTCCCAAGGATGGAGACTGAAACTTCTCAAGAAATGATAATTTTGAAAGCCCAATTACCCCAATCCATTCAAATATACTTTGCAGAAATAATCGTATTTAATGTGGGATGTGGGTACATTTGAATGTTTAATGGGATGTGGGGTGTACCCTCTAAAAAGAGCATCCAGGGCCTAAGGAGTCTGATGGTCGCAGCAGACACACGTGGGATTGGACAGAGACCCCTAACTGAAGCCTCCTGGGAGCTGACAGGTCTCTTCGAGAAGCCCTAGGCAGTTGTTGGAGAGGAGACAGGGACTACTCACGGGTCACCAGGTCAAAGCACTTTTTCTCCTCAGCATTTGGCCTCACTTGGCACGTCAGCAGGGTCAGCTTCACGGGGGGCCTGTTTATCTGTGGGAATTGGGGGACAGAGGATTTACATGTTACCCTCTGGGCCTCCCAAATCCTTAGGCCTCTATTTCCCAATCTGTTAAATGGCTACAATAGTCCTGTTCCAGTTCACATCTCCTCTCTCCCAGCACCTCATGGATTGTGGAGTGTGGGCCAAGACCACGTTGGGAGCTTTCAATCCCATCCTTCCTCCCACAGGGGGTCTCCAGCCACCTGGATCCAGGTTTGGGGGCCAGTGCTAGAGGGAGGGCTTGTTCTGACCAGTGAAGAGAAGACCTATTGAGCCCTGAGACCCCCTCTCCTCCAGGCCTCACCGTGCTGTGTGAGATGGTCAGGCAGCCGTACTTGACTCCACACTTCCTTTTCTGCCAGACTCTTCGAATTCTAGAGCCCAGAGGGACAGAGAGACACTGACCCAAGGCTCACGCCCAACTCCCCCGTATCAGAAAACACAGCCCTGGACCAGGTCTCCAGCCCCACCTGTATGGCCTCCAGCCACACCTCTTCACCTCTTCCATCCCCTGACTCCTACACCCCTCACTTTCTGGGGCTCCCTTCTGATGGAGGAGACCTAGTCCTGCCTTGAGGAAGCTCCCAGTCTGATGGGGGAAACACAGCCCCCATTCTCTGGGAATCCTTATTCTAAAGGGGAACATGTGACCCTGGCCCTCTGACAGCTTCTAGTCTGATGAAGGAGACACTGCTCCCAACCCTTAGGGAGCTCCTAGTCTGACAGGAGCATCAGGCCCTTGACCACACCGATGCATTATGATTAAGGATAAAGCAAGATAGATATTGAGACCCCCAAGACAGAAATTAGCAAACCCACAATCCAAAGCTACTTAGTACTTCTTTAAGAGGTGAATATTAATTGGTATAACAAAGCTATTCTTCTCTGATAAAAGCTGATTAGTAAACAGAAACATGAATACATCCCCCGGAGCCTTTGCCTTTCACAGACTGATTTTTTTTTTTTTTTTTTTTTTACACCAGGGAGCAAGGCACAGTCAACGCTTTCATTTCCAGGCATATTCCGTATATTAGAGAGGTTAAGGGTGAAGGCACGGGGACAGCGTAGGGCCTAATAAGTGTTCAGTAAGGGCTAGCTGCTACTATTATTCTTTTTCAAGTTAAGAACAACCAGTAAGTTCCAGCAGGAGTTCATGTGCCTAGGATTCTGAAGATATTGCACTGCTAGAGCGGAGGGTGCTGGAACCCTCAGAGTCTATGCAAATGATGAGAACAGCCCCCCGGGGCGGCTCCCCCAACCATTGTTTACTGGCCGTGTGGCTTTGGGCAAGTTACTTGAGCTCTCTGAGTGACTTACCCGTCACTTTTCTTGTACAGAAAGCCCACCTTCTCCGTCCCAAACTGCTTGTTGCCTTGGTGCTGATGGATGCTGTAGCCACCTCCTGAGTTCTTCCGGCTCAGATTCTCCTGTTCCTCGGACACGCAAAGGACACCTTAGGGCGTCTGGGAAGAGCCTCACTGCGCAGGGGTCTCACTCAGGGAGACTTCTCAAGGGCCCCTTGAAGTGGGGTCTTCCTTCTCTCCCTCCCTCCCTCCACGGCCGGCCTTGGGAGAAGGCATTCATGTGGGCATGACTGAGGGGCTGACCTCTCTGCTCTCAAGCTGCAGTGTCCCTCGGAGGGAGTCCCGGAGCTGGGTCAGCTTCTGTAGCTCCTCCTCCTGGGCTTGACGCAGCTATGGGACAGAAGGCAGGACCCCGCTGTCAGCCCACAGATGTGCCGGGTGCACAGCCCGGACCAGGACTTGCAGGGCAGCAGCCTTGCTCTCTGGGCAGGGGCCAGCTCTTCCACACCCCCAGATTCTCCCGGGAAGACAGAGGACTTGACCGTGTGCCCAAGGGTGAGGCCCGACTTACTGCATGTACAGAGGCTGCCAGCTTCTCGATGAAGGGGGACAGGCTCTGAGCGGCCTTCCAGCCATCTTGGAAAAAGCTAAGAGGCGTGAGGCCAAACGGGGGACAAGAAAGGCCGGGAGAATGAGGGAGGCAGGAAGGGTGAGAGAAGTTGCTCCAAGGATCACAGGGCCCCTGGGGGCAGTACAGCCTGCCTGTCAGGAGCAAGCTCTCTGGAGTCAAAGTTGTCTGGGTCCAGATCCCGCGTCCCAGCTGCGTGATGTTAGTAAATCTGATTCTGAGGACGAATGGGGGTTTCTCCTGGCTCACGGGGCTGTTGGGGGACTGAGTGAGCGCAAACGTGTAAAAGTACCTAGTGCCTGATACGTGGGGAGCCCCCAGTAAAGAGGAGCCCTAGAAAGCATTCCCTAGAAAGGCACAGGCGGAGTCCTCGAGGGCCTGCCAGATCCTGGGGATGGGCCTTGTTTCGTGTTGTCTGAAGGGTTAATGGTGAGGGCCACGGGGTGGGGGTGGGGGCGGGGACAAGGGAGAAGAAACCTACTTGTGCTGGGCGTGGAAGAACTTGATGAGGCTCTGCAGGAAATCAGGACCCTGTTTCATCTGGCTCTCCCCGGCTCTCAGCAGATACTGGGGAAAGAGCAGGGCTAAGTGGGCAGCGTGTGCGGAAGCTGAATCCTGGGGGCAAGGGGCTGCTGTCCCCACCCCGGGCCAGCCTTGGCCATGACTGAACCTCGGTGATATGTCAAGTGCCATCTGGATAGGACCCCGGGGGTTCAGGAGGCGAAGAGACACATCCCAACCTCCCCTCACCCCTGCAGCGCCCCTTACCTCACACATGTGCAGCTGGAAGACGCGCCGTTCTCTCTGTGTGTCCTGGGCCACCTCCCCAGGGCTCCCTCCTGTCACTCTGGCCCGGTCCCTTTCCTTCTCCAGCCTGGCCCTAGGCCCCAAGGAAAGAGAGGCCCGAACAACTCTTGCCATAGCCCCTTTCACGACCCACCACCTCCACATGCCCCTCTCTGCCACGGGCACACGAGAGTGAGGGGGCCCTCCTGGGTGCCAGCTGTGTGGTAGGGCTGGGGTACAATGGTGGACAAGGAGGATCCAGGTGGGGGAGAAAGACGTGAATCAAATCGCAGCCGCGAAGACTAAAATGGGGGATCCGACCTCGCCCGGCTGCTCAGGGAGTGCTGTTTGAGGTGAGATCTGAAAGGCTGAGAGGTTGCCTTGGAGGAAGCTAGGAGCATCAGACCACGTGGTAGCCGGAGGCAGGGGGCATCAGGGCTCAGGGACGGAGATGGAGAGGAAGGGGCTCCAGGTGAGGCACAGAGGGGCCAGATCACGCGGGGCCTAATTCAGATCATTGCTCCCAAGAGCGATGCGACAGGCTTAGATTAGGGCCAGGTGGGGTTTGGGGTGACCAGTCTGATTTTGCTGGAAGGATCAGTGGCTCAGAGGATCAGTAGGTACCTTCATACTTCTGAACCATGGAGCTTCCCATCTAAAGCTTAGAAAACCTTTGTCCTTTTCTTTGTGAGCAAAGACAGCGTGTAGCTAAGAGTAACCTGGGCCTTCCCCCTACAGATCTCAAGGGTTGGCTGTTTTCCCTCTTTGGGGGTGGCTGGATGTGTTTGTAAATGATTTCCTGGAAATCCCACGCCCATCAGACCACCCACTCTCAGCCGGGAGAGTGTTTCCACATCTGGGGCTGGGCACATGTAACCACAAATCCTCTGTAAAGGAGATGTCTTGCTTGTCAGTTTTGCTTCCAAGTAGGTACCAGCCCTGAGCAAAGATGACAACTGTGGGATACATTACAAGTATCACTACCCCTCCCCAAGCCTCAGTCTCCTCAGCTGGGAAATGGGGATCCTTATCTGTACCCAGAGGAGACAAAGTATGCAGAAGACTTAGCACACGGACGACCCTACAGCTATTATTATCATAGGTCCCTCCAGGCCTCGGTTTTCCTGTCTGTAAACTAGGGAAGCAAAGGCCTAGGCAGAGTCCTCAGGTCCATTCTGGCCTCAAAGTTCCAGGCCCTACTGAGGTCAGTGTTTACATGCAGGATCTGTCCCTGGAGACCTGTTGAGCCATTCCTCAACCGTGGAACTACAGATGTTCTGACCAGATAATTCCTTGATATGGAGCCGTTCAGTAGATGCAGGATGTTTGGCGGCACCCCTGACCTCTACCCACTAGATGCCAGTAGCACCTCCCAGTTGTGACAGCCAGAAATGTCTACTGGGGGGGGGGGTGCCCCTGAGTGAGCCCCACTACTCCAGAGTGCGGGTCTGTAGGTTTAAAAATTTTTTTTCTCGGGAGTGGTTATTTTTCCTTCCCCGAAAGCTTTATGATACCCCGAGAGGGAGTCTGTGGCAGGCTGGTGGAGTTAGGGTGGGGACTGACCCTGTGAACTGGGCCGGGGAGGGGGGGGAGGGGGTCATGGCAGATGCTATTTCAGGGGATCAGAAGATGAGCAGCAGGGAGGGGCAATGGCTAAGGCTGTGGTGTGCCCGCAGTGAGCCTGGCAGCTTGCTAAGAGGGCAGGAGACAAAGCAGGCAGAGCGGCTGGGAGGGGTGGGGGCATCTCCCATGCACACTGCTAACCTCATCTTTCACTAGTAAAAGTGAAAAATAAGCTAGATGGCTATCAGTGGGAAATAGATACATTATGCTCTGGCCACCTGTAGGAATACTATGCGGCCGTTAAAAAGGATAAGGAAGATCTATTCGTACTGGCATGGAAAGACGTCTGCTCAAGGGTAAATGGGCGAAAAGGAAGCACAACATGGGACAGTGGCTAGAAATGTGTGTTCTAGATTTGAATAGCAGCTCTCTCACTTAACCTTTATAAATCTAAGCTTTATTTGTTTGTTTTTAGCACGGGGTACTTCCTTATTTATTTAATATTTTTCGTACAGGCTCTAGTGGAGATTAAAGGACAGAGGCTAGTTAGCTCAGGATAGAGACAAGCTGTAAAGTGTAAATGGCTTCACGAATTACCACAGCTCTGTCCCTGCCTCGGCTGAGGTAATCTACAGAGCCATACCCTACCAGGTCTGACATGACCTCAGACTACTAGCTGGGGACTTGCTTTTTATTCCACCACACCCTTCCCAGAAAAGAGCAACTCCTATTCCCTCCCTGTCCTCAAAGGATCACCAATGTTGTAGAAACATTTCCCATGCTGGGGATATTTTATTTCCTTTGAATGGAGTTGCAGCGGAAGGAGTGAAATGAATATTGAGTGAAAAGCAGCGAAATGCTAGTTACTGAGAAGACCAAGGGAACTGAAGAAGGGGACTTCGGGGAGCAGTGTAGCATTCAGACGGGGAGCAGGCACTCCCGGTGGAGTGAGGGGGTCAGTGAGGAGGATGGAGGAGAGGAAAGGAATCAAAACGAACCATGCACCCGCTGACCTGATGCCTTGGAATCGCCTCTCCTGTGATGCCTCCCCCTACCACCCTTCCCTCCACCCGATCGAAACCACCTGTCTCGTCTGCCGCCTCAATGCCGACACTATTCTTATGGCACCGTCGCTTTGTATCTTCATTATTTATCCACCCACCTCTCGCTTACGAACCAGTGGGATCCACCAGGGCAGGGATTGGGGTGGCACTCTCTTCCTTATTTCTTACCTATAAATTGGGGATAATAACAGCCCCTTTCCCTGCCAAGGGGAATAAATACATCAGATAACAGATGTAAAGAGCTTATCATGGTACCTAAGGTAAAAGAAGCTTATAAGTAAGTATAAGTACCAGCTGCTATTATTACTAATTATTACTTTTAAGCACTGATATTGTGTTGGGCACTCTGCTAGACTCTTCACATGCTAAAGTGATAACCCCAGGAGGCAGGAATCATCACCCCATTTTATAGGTGAGGAGCCTGAGGCCGAGACAAGTCACATGTCCAAATCTCTCAGCTAGTAACTGCTGGAGCTAGGATTTGAATGCAGCATCTGGATTCAAGCCACCATCCAGTCTGTCGGATGCTCGAGGCTTGGGGACGGCACTGGTAACCAACGCTGTGTCCCAGATTTGCCCCATCCCTCCTTCCCTGTCTGGTTCCCTCTGCTGGTGACAGGCACAGTGTCTCTTTTTTTTTTTTTTCTTCTTTAAAAAAAATTGTATTTATTTTATTAACTTTAAAATTTTAATCCCAGTGTGGTTAACGCATGGTGTTCTATTAGTCTCAGGTGTGTAATACACTGTTCGACAGTTCTGGACATTACTCTCTGCTCATCACCGTAAGTGCACTCATTAAGCCCATCACCTAGTTCACCCACGCCCACGGTGTCTTTTCTGATAGGCCCCAGTCAGAGACTGTTTCACAGAAGATGAAGCTGAGGCCCAGAGGAGGGAAGGGACTGTCCAAGAGCCCAAGCTGGCCAGGGGAAATGCTAGGAGCAGAGGCCTGGGATCCTGCCTGTCAGCCCCTTGCTGTGTCACTCTGATCGCAGTTCTGGCTCAGAAAGATGGCTGATAAATACTTGTGGAACCACAGCACCAGGTGCTTCATATGCACTGTGTTTATTTCATCTCCACACCAACCCTGCAAGGGTGTCACTGGCCCCATTTCTCAGATGAGGAAAGAGACTTGCACAGGGAACACCCTAGAAAAACTAGGTCCCTGCCCAAGGGATGCCTTTCTTCGCAGCTCCAGGTGGACAGGGGAGCCCTCCTCCTATGTGAACAACCAGGAAGTGAGGCTCCTGGTGGTATCCAACAGGTGCTATTCTGGGCCCTTCCAGCTGCTGCCCAGACTGGTTTGGTAAGCATGAGGTGGAAATTACAGTAACTCACAGCGCACCAATATCTAGCTATACCTGAAGCCCTCATAAAAAGGAGCGTAACAGACGCCTGTGCCAGGACAGGTAGCTCAGCCAGGAGACCGCGGAGCAGGGCAGAAGGAGCACTGGGTTCTAGTCCAGGCCCTGTTGATTACTCACTGAACAACCCTCACCAAGCCCCTCTCCCGATCAATTACACAGTCTTTTCTTTAAACGAAACCTTGCAGGCAAGACCAATACGTAAATCTGGTACAGGGCGCCTGACTGTGGCTCAGTCCGTGGAGCACGCGACTCTTGATCTCAGGGTTGTGAGTTTGAGCCCCATGTGAGGTGTAGAGATTACTTACAAACAAAATCATATACAAAAACATATGTATATGTATGTATATGTAAATCTGGTAAAAGCAGAGCTGGCTGGAGATGGTCAGCAGGGTGGGGCTTACTCCTTCCACTTGGTAGGTGATGCCCTGCAAGGCTGAGGGCTTAGTCAAGGGAACTCAGGAAGACGCAGACCATGTGGTGGCCCCACATCAAATTGCTAGGAAGACTGCCTGCGTGGCCACGCCCCTCTCTGGGCCTCTAAAGAGAGCAGATGGCCACGCCCACCACAGCTCCCACCCCCACGCCCCCCCCCCCCCGGGGGTGGGTGGGGGGAGGGCCTACAGGCACAACAGCAGTAGAGACCTGAGCGCTGCTGGAGTGGGGAGTCCTGGCCTTCCTTCCGCCTCCCTGGGGCTGGAGGAACAATAAAGCTCCAGGATCTCCTTCTTAGAATTGAACCTACAGAAGTAATGATTCTGGGAGAGAGCAAACATTTAGTTCCAAGGATGGGTCCCCAAAGACAGGGGCGGAAGAAATACATTAGGGATCATGCGTATGTTGAAACACAGTCTGCCCATTTAAGTGACGATGTATATGAATATGCAATGATGTGGAAAGACGGTCATGATGTATTTTAAGTTTTATTTTTATTTTCTTATTTATTTTGAGAGAGAGAAAGCATGAGTAGGGGTGGGGCAAAGAGAGAGGAAGCGAGAGAGAATCCCAAGCAGGCTCCGCACCGTCGGTGCAGACAGAGCCTGATGCAGGACCGAACTCATAGGCCGTGAGATCATGACCTGAGCGGAAGTCAGAGGCTTAATGACTGAGCTACCCAGGCGCCCGGGTCACAATGTATTTTTAAGTAAAGAAAACTCAATATGATTATTATGTTCTCAGTCTTGTAAAAAAATATTTCTTTATATATAGGAAAATGACTAGAAAGTTGTTAATACTCTGGTCTTGGAAATTAAGCTTTTCCGGGGCTCCTGGTGGCTCAGTCCGTTAAGCATCCAACTCCTGATTTCCGTCAGGTCATGATCTCATGGTTTGTGAGTCTGACCCCCTTGTCTGGCTCTGTGCTGACAGCACAGAACCTGCTTGGGATTCTCTCTCCCTCTTTCTCTTTCTCTCTCTCTCAAAATAAATAAGCTTTTTTTTTTTTTTTTTTTAAGAATTTTCCTCTTGGTCTTTGGTAGTTTCCCCTCCTCCCACTTTTTTAAGTGACAAAACCAGAGCATCCGCCCATACTATGTAAAAACACTCAAATAACAGGGGCGCCTGGGTGGCTCAGTCTGTTGGGCGACCGACTTCGGCTCAGGTCATGATCTCGCAGTCCGTGAGTTCGAGCCCCGCGTCGGGCTCTGTGCTGACAGCTCAGAGCCTGGAGCCTGTTTCAGATTCTGTGTCTCCCTCTCTCTGACCCTCCCCCATTCATGCTCTGTCTCTCTGTCTCAAAAATAAATAAACGTTAAAAAAAAAATTAAAAAAAACAAACAAACACTCAACAGAAGTACTAGCTGTTCCCCACAGGGCCCTCATCCTCTCCTAAGGATAATTAAAGTTTTTTCTTCTTTCCTCCTCATTTCCTGAGTTATTCACAATGGACACATACTGCTTTTGCAAAATGCAAGAGAAGACAACAGTTTACAAATAGTAAACAGAGCTCTGAGGTACGGCGGGCCTGGCCGGGCCCTGGCAGAGTCCTATAGACAGGGCCCGAGGAGTCTCTGCTCTGGGTGGATTGGCTCCTTCTGTCCCCATGATGGGCCAGTAGCCAGTGAGAGGTCTGGGAGGTGCGCACAAGAGGCGTGGGTCTGACACTGACTCCCTTTCCTCCTCTATGTCCGACTAAACGCTTACAAATAACCACCTGGTGTTGCAGAAAGAGGATGAAGGGGCGGGAACCCCAGCTCCGCCTCTGCCTCACCGTGTGGCCTTAGGCAGGCGACTTAACCCGTCTGAGCCTCCAATTCCTCCTGACTCTTGGGATGCTAGCACCTCCCGCACAGGCTGGGTGGTTGTGGAGACTTACTGGCATGCAGCCTTTCCCTTTCTCTGCCCACTTCTGGCACCACTGAGCAGATGGGTCTCCGAGAGCAGGATCTCGAGGACCCTTCACAACTGCCCCCCTTTGGTGGTCCTGCAGTCCAGCCCCCAGAGTCCTGTCAGGCCTGGGCATAGATCACCTCCTGTAAATGCCTCCAGAGAGTGAGATGGCGGGTGCCTGGGTGGCTCAGTCAGTTAAGCTGAACCAACTTCGGTTCAGGTCACGATCTCACAGTTCGTGAGTTCGAACCCCGCGTAGGGCCTCGTGTGTCCAGGCTCAGAGCCTGGGGCCTGCTGCAGATTCTGTGTCTCCCTCTCTCTCTCTGACCCTCCCTGGCTCACACTCCCTCTATCTCAAAAATAAATAAACATTTAAAAAAAAAAAATGTTAGAGAGTGAGATGCCATGCGCTTTTGGGTGACATGTCCTGGCAGCACTGAGGTTCTCCCCCTGTCCAGCCTCCTTCTGCAACACAAGATTCGCTCCCCTGGGCAAACCACCCTGACCACAGCCACTTACATTTTGGCTTCGTAGTCCTTCCACGCCTTCTCCAGCTGCTTTTTGGAATCCTGTGGTTTAAAAAGAACAATTTGCCCAGGGGCGCCTGGGTGGTGCAGTCAGTTAGGCGACTGACTCTTCTCGATTTCAGCTCAGGTCACAATCTCACGGTTTGTGAGTTTGGAGCCCCGTGTGGGGGAGCCTGCTTGGAATGCTCTCTCACTGCCCCTCCCCCACTTACACATGGGAGTGTGCGTGCACACACACACACACACACACACACACACACTCTCTCTCTCTC